GAAACACTTCCGCACACGCCAAGCACGTGCACTGCGACCACACACGTACCGGGATGTCCCCGCGTACGTAGCGCGCTTTTCCGCTCGTCCGCGGATCGTCCCGATTGTCGGGAGCGTCGTCGGGAATGCGATAGGTCACCGGGGGGAGAGGGGGAAGGGGGGGGGACATCTCCTGTACGGACACGCGCACGTTTACACGACGGCCGATAGGGAGTTTATTTTTTATGGCGAATTAGTAGGAAGCTTTAGGGGAGAGCTTGCACCTCGGAGATCACGCGAAGCCGATACGACAAATACTTATTATATCGCGACCGTCCTTTAGATCAACCGGGGGGGGGGGAGGAGGGCAGCTTTAGAGGCGAGAGAGATCAGTGGTTATGCGCAACGAGACGTCGGAACCATACGCGATAACGATTGGTCGTCCAGGAAATGGAGAGATTCACGTTATTACGCGATACTACTAACTATCCATCGGACCGAATCGCCGGTTTCTTCTAACGCGATCTTCGATGATAATTATTGTTCTCGTTGGTGGGCGCAATACGCTGAATAATAATTGCCGCTAGACGCGCATGGTAGCACGACGAATCGCCGCTGACACATCGGGCCATCGCAGTCCTTGCCGATCGCTGTTGTTGAAGAAGTAGATACATGCGGCGAGAGAGGTGTGTTCGTACAAAACATCGTTGTTACCAAACATCAGACGCGTATCATTTAAGAGTTCCACGCATCTCCACACACCACACGCAACATGCACACAAAGATACATACACACACACACACATACACATCTAGGAACATGTACAGCCATGGACTGCACCTCGCATTAGCGACTGCCGCTACCGTAGAACTTAGTGCGCCGCAAACAATCCAGATCGAGGAGGAGGCACGTTCTTACGATGACACTTCAATATTCGATCGTATCGCACTGCGCGAATCTCACGATAAAATAATACGTATACCTTACACACTGCGTACAACTCACACTGCGCGCGCGCGCGCGCGCGCACTGATAACGATTATGCGTGTGAAGAAGAAGACTGTTGCTGATTTGAAGACGAAACACCGCGAAGTTGTTGAGCGAAGCACACATGCTCTCTACACAGAATGTCCTCTGCGACTGAAGAAAGAGAAAGAGAAAGAAGAAAGAACAGACGCAGTTTTGAGAGTTGCCGAGTCAACGAAACGTTTGCCGATACTTGTTCGTCGAAGAGGAAGTTGTCTCTCCGTAAGCGTCGAGCGTCAAAGATCATACCCGACGGTAGGAGAGGAGCGTGAGAGAGATACGCGATCGGACCACTGAAATTGCATCCTCCTATTTTTCCTCGCGAGAGGAATTCTTTCCCATGCGCTGAGAGCACGATCCTCGTCGTCTGGCGAGGACGGTCACGCGTCGTACGGGCCATCGTCGTTGCGAGAGATACAAAGTTGTGCGGGACCCAGAACGAAGATATTTCTATGTAGCGTTTTAAGTAAAAAGGAAAACAAAAAAGAAGAAGAAGAAGAAGAAGAAGAAGAGAGAGAAAGAGAGAAGTGCGCAGTAAAGGGAGGCGAGATTTAGTAGAAAGCGTTGCGTGAGGAAGAGTGTGCGTGAATATGCTGCTGGTCGGGGAAGGCAGTTATTATTATTATTATTATTATTATTACTATTATTATTGTTTTTTCGCCCATCGTCGTCATTATTATGTCGACAGTCCCGCTTCATGGACCCATTGCGATGTAATAATAGCAATGATATTGATAATTATGCATATTTATAAGTACGCTGCTGATCAAAGAGAGTGCGATTGTTGTAATTATTATTATAATTATTATTATTGTTATAATCATTGTTATGTCGAATACCACTGGAGGCTTCGTACGACAGCCGAGGGGCGAACGTACAGAATATAAAACCTGCGCGACGTAATTCTGCCCCGCAATGATTCAGTGCCATTATTTTCTGCGTTTAATTCCGGCTAATGTCGGGGTAGCGCGGAGTCCCTGGCGGAATGCAGAAAATAATTGCAGGTGCCCTCGCACCTGCTTAAAGCATCCGACATAATGATAGCCATAATTATAATCATAATATAATTGAATAATTATAATTACGATTACCGCTCTCTCCCCCATCCGACACCGTGCTCGTGCATAATTATGTTATTATTATTAGTATTATTATTATTACTACTACCGTACGTGTTATTATTATTATTATTACCGTCACCATGATTATTATCAACATTGTTATCACTATTGTGTAAATAATTTATCGCGATAACCCTGTCTCATTTATCGTCCCGGGATTTTCCTCTTTACTCGTTTCGCGTAATCGCGAAAGCCATCTCGAGTGGCGTGAGAACGAGCGAGTTGAGCGAATTACGCGCGTGTCACGTAATTGTGCGTTGTATTCTATCGAAAGTACAATGCACCCAGGACTCGTCGGCGATATCGCGAGTCTGCGAAGACACAAATTCGCGGGAGAGCACGGCGAGAGCTCGTTCCGTAAAACTCGATCGCTCGTCTTCGAAGTGAAAATTACGCCGCCACGTCGTTGCACAATCGGAGAGATTCTGTCGGGATCAAAAAATGTCCGCTTCCGTCTTCACTCTTATCGAGACCTGAAATCTTTTATACATTGGAACATCGGAACCAATCGCGATGTTGCGCAACGTCGGTTCGCGATCTCGAGGACTAAAAGTGGAATTCCGTGGAACGAAGTCCCGTCTGCTTCTTCTGAGTTCATCCATCTTTTTTTCTCCGTCTTTTTCTTCGAGATAGGACAGGATCGCGGGAAGAGCGGGTGAGAAAAGTGAAGGAGTGGTGTGTGGATGTAAATATGATATACACGTGTAGAGAGTAAGACCGAAGCTGTGGAGTTCGACGGGCACACTCACGCACATTTAGCAGGCGGAAGTTGCTGAAGTTTCACGACGCCGCTTCCCAGACTCGAGCGATCCCAGTGGCATTAAAGCAAAGGTCGGTTACCTCGGCGCCTCTATCGTTTACTTCCTACACGTGGCGAAAATAATCAAACCCGCGCTAGTCTTTTTCCTTGATCATCCGGTAAGCCATCACCGACGATGAATCATTGAAGTATCGATAAAACTCTCACTCGTACTCTCTGCGCGCGATTCGTCTTGCCAAAATGTCGAAATCCACCTCGACGACGATCCACCTAAGCTGCGCGAGAAAACTCGCACCGTGAAGCTTCACGAACTTCCGCTCTACCCACCTTACAACAATACACGTACAAACATCGTTGCACCGCACCGGGTACGTGCTGATGCATAATCACGTACATCTACACGGACAAACACACGCTTCCCCACGTAGATACAGCCTCGTGTGTGTGTGTGTGTGTGTGTGTGTGTGTGTGTGTACCGCACACGGATACGGAAGAGAGACGTACATGCATACACACTCACAAATTGCGCATAGCTTAACTGTCTCTTTATATAGGTGTTGACACGTCGTCACGGGAGGAATAATCTCGAACGAGAGGATGGATCGAGGGTGGCGGGGTGAAGGCTCCGTGGGGGGAGGAACCGTGGACGGGGGGAGGGAGGGAGGCTTCGAGTGGTGAAACATGACAAGAGCCACTTATAATTGACATAGCATAGCGAACCTTACTATATTTACCGTGACATGTAATACCTTTAACGAGAAGAAATGCGATCTACTGATAGAGAAGAATTGTTCTGCACAAAAAACACGATGCTTCATTGATAATTATAATCTCTCTCTCTCTCTCTCTCTCTCTCTCTCTCTCTCTCTCTCTCTCTCTCTCTCTCTCTCTCTCTCTCTCTCTCTGTTTTTCTCTTTCCATCTATCTCTCTCTTAACTTGTCTCTTTCTCCCCTTTCCTATCTCCCTCCCCCCTTCCCTCTTTCTCTACTTACCTACCTTGTGAAAAGTACGTACCTCTCAATACCTTTATACTAATTGCTATTAATTATCATTTTGACATAAAGAACGCTTTACACCGACTCACGGCGCGTTCGCCGCGACGGCTTGCGCGCCATTATTATCGGTTGATTACGATTTAATCTATGATTATTCACCGCTGTCGCCGCTGAGACGGGAGGCTCATTGTTATCACATTGTTGTCATGATCATCATCGTCGCGTTACTATAGAAGACAAATCTAATGAACCGCCATCGTGTCGTATTGTCATATTATATATTACTATATCGTTACTACACACACCGACTTTGCAGGCGCGGGGGAGGGCGGGTAAGTTAAGGGGTGGACGACACGAGTCACCCCCGCGAGGACCGATCGGCGAGAATTGATCGGGGCTGCGGAATCCTGTCCGGAAGGACGGATTGCTCGACGTCGATCAGTCGGTCCTCAGCGGGCATCTCCGTGTCGCGTCCCCGACGTCGCGATTATTAATTTAGCGTAATTAACTTACCCGTTACGAGCACACGATCGTACCCACTCTCCCCCCGAGACGATACTCACCGCGTGAGTGCCGCGTGAGTCGATCCTCGCGGGACGATCCAGGTGAGCAGCGCTTAATTAAGGAGAAGCGAGACGAGAAAATAAACAAAAAAAAAAAAAGAAAGAACCACCGTTCCGAGTACGTCCGCTCGTTCGGAGTCTGCTCGTCGCGATCGGGACACGGCGGAATGTAATAAGCGAGCGCGCGCAATGAGATTCTATCTCGACACACACACACACACACATAGAATTTTATAAAGTGGAATCTCGCTGCGCCGCGAAACTAAAATAGGAGATAGCCGGAAGCGGAGGAGGGAAGCGAAGCCACGGATTTCAAACGATGCGTTTCGTGTGCGAGAGGACAAACACTTTGTATGCACCCGCCCCCATTGTTCATGCCCATTTGTATCGCGTAGTTGGACCGATCGGTAATTACGTTTCTCGGGTACGAGATACTATTATAAATATAAATATAAATATAAATATATATATATATAAATATATATATGTGTATATATATATATATATGTATATATATATATATATATGTGTATGTATATGTATATGTATATATATATATATATATATGTATGTATATTTAAGCAAAACAGAAATGAGAAGAACTACTGTAACTACACCTGCCTCTTGTGAATAAATGCCTATTTGTTTCTTTTCACGTGTCTCATTATTTTCAGGAAACATCTACGACATACGATTAGAGAAAGGTACGCGAGCTACACGCCAACACTGCAAGCCAAGTAAAATAAAGATTCGACAGAATCGGAAATATCTATATATATATATATATGTGCACGTCAGGAGCAGGTGCGGCGAAGATGTAGAGTCGCAGGATGTTCGCAAAACGGACTTTTATTAAATAAATATTGTCGTATAATCGATCAGATCAAGAATCATACAATTATCATACAACTTGGACGATCACACACACGCACTCCGAGGAAAAAAGGTACAAACGATCCTATCGTGTCGAGCACGCAACGGCATACGTGTTTACACACCCCTATGTACACGTGCAAAAACACACGTGCCGCGTCGAAGACAGCGAGCCGTTGCTTCTCAAGGTCGAAGTGGAGCTCTTGAGGAGCATCGTTGCGATCAGCATCGTCGCGCGAAAACGTTCTAGCACGATATTGCACTAAAGTTGCGTCAAAAGATCGGAGATCTCTATGGCTGGACGATTGACTTTCGTTTCTAAATACGCTCGATTACATTTCAATCCTCCCTCACCCCCCCCCTCCCCGATTTTTTTTCGTTTCGACGCATCGCAGATAATTCGTCGGTCCTGATGGACGGAACGATGGACGGATAGCGATTAATCACGGCCGGTAATTAACTCCAACGCAGAAAATCACATCCAAGCTCGTATTTAAGTAACATCGATCTATACGTAACTTGAATGCCACGCAATACGAATGCCAACTGTCGCTCGAAGCCGCGGGAGAAGAAATCTCTCACCTTGTAGGAACGTTTCATAATACCCACGACTTATCGATCATCCTCGTGCGTCGATTTCGTCGTCGACGAGGTTTGCAAAATTCCCTACTGAAATCATCACTAATGTCGCGGAGGCGCGACAATAACGCGTCAAAAGACCCGCGCAATATTCTCCGTCGATTCTAACGTAAGACACGGCGTATCACAATGTTTCGCGTTAACAATAATTCAAGAGCGAGACGAGACATCTCCAGTCCATTATTTGATCAGCTGGTCGCGAGCACACTTCGAGATAAGAGGCTGCCACTTGGAGATCGTCCTCAGCGTGGAAAACGATCGGTTCCGCGCTGATGAGAGTAACGCGAATAGCGCGAGTTCCCGCGCGAGGACGAAAGGACGCTTGCGCGCCTTGCCGATTTTAACCCTTTAACTGCTACGGTCGAGATAACTCGAGTGTGGAAAAAAATGGCGGCCTTGCTTACGATCGAGTTTACTCGATTTGGACTTTCAATGTGTGTGGTATTGCGTGCGGTATTTTTTTTTTTTAATTTAAAAATATGAATTTGTGAAAATCTGGATCGCCAGCAAATTATAAAATATTGTTATAATTGTAAAAATAACTCAGCAAAGAGGCTCATACTGGTCATTTAATATCTCAGCAGGGTTAAAGGGTTAATAATCGCGGGACTAATGGGGACATTAACCCTTTGCATTCTTTCGTCACCTTTCGACCGACACTCGCTTGTATGTATGTAGTAAGACTCGTGATTAGTTTCTTTCGTGTGCAGTTACAAACGGAACAGGACGAAGAAATGGCGAACAATTTTTCTTGCCTCGGAAACTTCAACGGTGATCATCAGTTTGTTTCTGGCGTAAAAATCTTTCAGTCGAATTTACGAACGATCGGACCATCTGATGATATTTCTTTCTCGACAGGTTATTAAAATTATTCGATCTATTGATTTGCTTCTGTCGACTCGTCGGCCGGCGGAACGCAGTTTCACGTAGTCGATGATCCTCGCATAAGAAGTTTATGAATTTAAATGTACGATAATGACGGCCGACCGACGGACTGCGTCGATTAATCGACGTGATAAAAAGTGACGGGCAAAAACGCAACTGATACATATCGAGACGAAGGCGAGAAGTACGTCCGCGACGATCGAGCGCATGTCGCATGAGCGCTCGAGAACGCTTCGCAAGAGCCGTCCGCGACTTTCCCTACTCGAGGAATCGTAGAAAGTCGAACGTTCCGCGTGTTTTTGCGACGGCAGACGCGCCACTTAAATTCGAATTAGTAATCCGTTTCGGCACGGGAATCGGCACCGGTGTCAGACTCTCATCGTTAAGAACAATGCGTCTGTCGCGGATGACGCGACTACATCCTTCGCTCCGCGTAGTTGCCAAGCGCGAGAGAGCTTGGAAATCCGACTGGCGAAGAAGAATCTCGCTGTCGGACGCACCGATACTCCGCCGTGCCGGCGTTCAGGACAGGTCCGGCTCAAATTTTAGACGAGTCACCAGGAATACTTTCAGACTTCAGAATTATCACTAACCGTAGTCCCTTCAAGCGCGAAATCGCTCATTTCGAGAATCAGTCGAAATTCGACGTTTCTCCGCTAGTCGACGGCAATCAATTATCTGGAACATCGTCCCTACTCGCGGTTGAAGGCCGCGGGAGTAACACCAAAGCTCTGTCAAACGTTCGTGCGAAGGAAACGCAAGTCCGTCTTCCCTTCGCCCTCTCACCTCTTCGCAACTCTCGGCAACTTCTCTTCGCGGCGCTAGCGACCGCAGGTACGGTCCATCGCCGTCGGCCAACCGCGACCAGATCGCGTTCGTCCCTTTATAATTTTCGTTCATCGTAACGCTGCTACCGCGCTACGTCACTTTCGTCAAAACAGGCCGAACATCTTCTTCGCGGGGCCGGTGCTCCTCTTCTTCCTGGCTGGCGCGGACACGTCCGAGTTATCGCCGTTCTTCACGGCGACGTTGTGCGCCGCCGCCGGGGTCAGCTTGCTGCGCACGTGCTCGTCCAGCAGCGCCTGCATGTCCATCTGCCACTGCTCCAGCTGCTGACTCAGCTCGACCTTCTGCTTGATGGCCTCCTTCAGCTGGCTGTCCGCCTGCAGGATGTCTATCCGCGTCCTCGCCAACTCCACCTCCACTCGATTCTGCCTGGCCACCGCCTGGTCGCGCACCTTGTACGCCTTCGCCACGATCTCGTCCTTCGTCAGCTCGGAGTGCTCCATGTCACCCCTGGCACGGTCGCGCTCCTCCATGACGCCGCGCAGCTCCGCCTCGCAGACGCTCAGCTTGCTCGTCACCTCGAGGAACGCGTCCGCGCGCCGCTTCAGCTCCTCCTGCATCTGCTTCGACTGCTCCCTCGAGTGCTCCAGCTCCTCCCGCACCCTGTGCAGCTCCACCGCGAGCCCCAGCTCGCCAGGCGCTCCTCTGCCCGACAGCGCGAGGTTGTACACCTCTTCGACCAGCTCCAGCAGCGCACCCGGATAATTCGTCTGCAAGTCGAGCGATTTGACGTGGCAAATGTCGGGGCGATTTTAGCGCAAGGTATACGTCTAAATTTGGACTATGTCACTTTATTCCGACTAATTTTAAAGCTTAACATCTTTGTTAAGATATGTAACAAATATACAATTACCATACACCAAGGAAAAATGTATTGTTGCGTGAACGAAAATTTTGTTGTACCAACAAAATAATTTGGTTAAAATATGCCCAACAAAACTGTTCAGTTCGTGTAAACAAATATCTCGTTTGATTACGGTTTGTCCGTACAACGTAATACTTTTGTCACAGCTTTAACTATATGAATTTTGTTAGAAATACTACAATTTTTCCTCAATATATAAAATCGAAATTTCAGTTTAAACAGCAAGACAAAATAGCATCCATTGGGCCGTTATTTATAGTTTATGTAAAATAATATTTCGTTATTGTGTAATTTTTATGGATGAGATAACTAAAATGCTGAATTTTTATGATCCGAAGTCCAAGAACAAAATCATTTGCTTTCCAGAGAACAAAGCAGAAAAATATATTTAGTTGAGACAACTAAATACTTCGTTATACAAAACAAGATATTTGGTTGTTATTAAAAAAATGCCTCAACTAAACACTTTCGTTAGAGGTACCAAATTCTTTTTTCCTTGCGTGTGTACGAGACGAGTACACACATTAAAATATATTACAAAATATATAAAATATATACATAAAGATATATATATATTAAGTAATATATTAAAGTGTATAGACGCATCGCGTAAGTCCTTTATTAAATTAGATTCGTCGCGCGTCGGAGAGAAATGTCCGTTTGGAATTTAATTCGGATTAAAGTCAATATTTGAGATCCCGTTCCAGCCGCAGCGTATTACACTTACCGTAGGCGAAGGGTGAGCCTCCCGCTCGTTGCTGCCGACCTCCGCCTCGGAGCTGTTGATCACGAGCATGGACTCGTCGCAGTCGCTCTGCAGGCCGGAGTCGTCCTCGCCGCGTCTCAGATGAGCGCACAGCTCCCTCAGTCGCTTCGTCGCCCTCGCCACTTCCGTCCGCAGACCGTCCTCCTGTTCTCCCAGCGAGCTTCCGCTCTCCTCGCACTCCATCTCCGCCTGCAGGGACCGCGGTGGCTTTTGTATCGAACCGGACCTAGTCCTCCTTTCCGCCTCGATGGCCGCCAATGACGACGCCAGCTCGTCCCTGAAAGCAGCAGCGCGCGCGCGCGCGATGATACGTCTCGAAGACTCTCGGGATTACACAGTGAGGGAGATCGCGCAGCGCGTCTTTGGGACCTGCGATTATCAACCGCAGCCATCAGTGGATCTCATCGGTGAGTCGGCATTCTAATACTCTCCACGATCATCGATTTGCATCTTGGTCTTGGCATTGCGTCTCGGATGATGAAACAACAAGGACACAGAGGATACCTTAGATGCGTCTTCGGGCGCCTGTACGAGTCGTTCGTATCGACCACCCGACTCGATCAACTGCGGATATTCTCAAGTATAAGATCCGACTGTGCGAGACGCAAGTCCGAGTAGCGCTCGACGCAGATCAGGGAGGAAAGATACGACAGCTCTGAACGCTGAAGTGCCGGCCGAGCGCGACTCGGAAGAAAACGACGCGGAACTGAGACTCCTTGGGATTCGGTAAAATTTAAGCGCCATGGTAGGAAATGGCGTTCGATCGAGCGTTCGATCGAGACGCGTGACGACCGAGACATAATGGTGCGTGGAGAACGCGGATTCTGCGGCCTCACCTCTCCTGCTCGGCCACTCTCGCGCGGTGTTCCGCTTCGTGGCTGAGCCGCTCCAAGGCCGCGGCTCTCTCCTCGGCTTCCTCGAGGGCCGCGATCGCCCGGGCCCTCTCCTCCCGGAGCTCCAAGGACCGCCTCTCTAGCTCGGTCCTTTGTGCCGAGACCAGTTGTACCTGTTGTAACGACGGCCTCGTTATGGCGGGATAATACGTGCTGCGGGACAATGCGATTCACTGAGTCGTCGTCGTCGTCGTCGAGCCGGCCTTCGCTCGGCCCTGACGTGATGACGACTCGAGGACCTCATCTTCGCCGAGCTCTCGACGAAACGTGCGTTGAAGGGGAATTTCGAGAGAGAGAGAGAGAGAGAGAGAGAGAGAGAGACGGGAAGCAGTTCACGGTAAGCAGGCACGGCGCGAAAACGCGACTCGCATTTTCCGGGTCGAAGCCACTGCGTGACGAAAAGAGAGAGAGAGAGAGAGAGAGAGAGAGAGAGAGAGGCAAGGTGTATGACGAGAACCAGCCGATCGAAGGTCACGTTCAATTTTACCCGATTTATAGTACTTTCCCACAAATTACACGAGTAGGTTCGCGCGCAAGCACCGACGGCGATTACGGCGGCTTCCTCCCCATAAAAAGGCCGCGGTGAATAATTCAGTAGACAGCAGCCGAGGCCCCTACCTGGGAACCGCGTTCGGTATTTCCGAAAGGATAATGATTAATAGATAATAACAGCGGCTTCCGCTCTCCAATTGGCTCGCGGGCCAATTAAATGGAAAGGGAACTCCAGTGAGGAACTAATAAGATTGATGGGCGAACTCGAGCGCGCGAGTCTCGTGGTCGACCGGGACGAAGGTTCACGCTCTCACCTCGTCCCGCAGGATCTCCAGGCTGCTCACGTGATCCTGCAGCGTGGTGTTTCGCAGAGCGCACTTCTCCCTCAGCACCTTCATCTCGACGAGCAACTGCTCCTCCTGCTTGGCGGCCTCCCTCAGCTGATCGGCCAGCCTCGTGTTCTGCGCCGTCAGCTCCGCGACCAAGGTGGCCTGATCGCGCTCCGCCCTCCTCGCCCTCTCATTCTGCTCCTCCAACTGGCTCCTCAGCGTCTCCACGTCGGCCTGCAGCTCCAGAGCCCGCGCTTCGCTCTCGTCCCTGGCCTCCTCGAGCCTCCTTCGCAGCAGATGTCTCTCTTGCTCCAAGCTCTGCGTCGACAGAGAAAGAAAAATGCGACTGAGCTTACTCCTGCCAGGACTCGCGATCGCGATCGCGACTCGGAGGACACGTGACTGCTCGGAGCAATCCTCGCTCTAGAAAGGAGCATATGTGACACGTTCGAAGGAACGACGAGGCACAGAGAGAGACTCGCTCTCGCTCTGCACCTTTCACGTAGCAGCGGGTCTTACATCGCGCCGACGTCATTCGGAGGCGAACTCGCCGAGAGAAAGAAACGCGATGTGAGTCAGTGCTGCACATAAATCACGGCGTTCATGCGTATACGTATACGTACACGAAACCGAGATGGCGTAGAGATACACAGAGTGAAGAACTCGGTGAAAGGGGAGCTGGCAAATTTATTAACATACAATTAAATCTGGCCGCTCCTAGCCAAGCATCTCGCTTTCCATCCGTTTAAGGATCTAATTTCGCCGGTGATGGAAACATACATCGAGAGTGTGTTTCTCTTCCACTCGCGACGAATAGTCAAGTCGCAAGCAAGCAAGCAAGGGAGTCGCAAGCGAGGAAGTGGAGGAAAGCTCGAGATCGCGTGGAGTTTTCAACAGAGGAATGCCTTCTCTCTTGCCCTCTCTCTCTCTCTCTCTCTCTCTCGTGCGCGAGCACGGCAATTCTCTCCCTGCACAGAGAGAACGATTTAGTTGAATCTAACAAATGCGTATTTCGAATAGTCGAAATAAACTTTTCGATTGATCGAACAAAATTTTGTTTGACGCAACAAAAACATCCCGTCGGCTGACTAAGCTGCAAACAAAATACTTTTGTTGCGTCAAACGAAAACTTGGTTCGATCAATCAAAAAATTTATTCGGACTATTTCGAAATAAGCATTTGTTAAATTCAACTAAACTCGTTCTCTCTGTGTTGCCCGCGCAATCGCGTAGGAGCGCGAGGGAGGACAAAAGGGAGGCTTTCATATTCGGCGACGTAGGGGGCAGCAGGTCCCGTCCGAAGAGAATTTTCGCCGACAAAGGTGCGAACATGACGCTTCTTCCGTGCATAACAAAGGGACACGCGAGAGAACTGGTTCCGTCGCGGGTACACACGCTGAGCGATGGCCACACGCGCGAGTCGCTTTGTTCCCACATGGAGTTTCTCAACCCGATGGCCGATAGCGCGCGCTCCGCCGTCGGTAATAAGACGCAATACAGCAGCGGCAGCAGCTTCGAAAAACGCGAGAAGGCCCGATTCTAAATGAAGCGTTAGCGCTAATTAATACTCCCATTTAACAAACGAGGCACCCCGGGCATTTAATTAGTCCTCGCGACACGCGAAGCCATCGGCTTTGCGCAATCGTATATTCATATTACGCGGCCGCGCTGTAATTTCACGCGGCAATACCGAGGAGCAATAAACATGCCTCGTAATTGGCTGTTTCGCCGACGCATCGGCGGAGAGAGAGAGAGAGAGAGAGAGAGAGATACTTCCGTTCGTCATGCTCAGCCTGGACTCTAATTCCTCGCGAGGACTTTCATCATTTTCTGATCAACGGACCAGCTCGGCGGAATATCATCGGTCGCGCGCAGACGTCATTCTTGTTTATTTACGCGAGATACGTGCGAAACGAGCAACGCTCCTGGTCGCGCAGTAGTACAATCCAACGGCTTGGTGCTGGTGAGGAGTTATCGAGCTGGACGCTACGGCCTTGGTATCCCATGGTTACTCATCGACCGATCGTCAACATGCCCGCAGGTCTGCAGTTCACCGATCCCGAAAGTCCACGGAAGGCCAACGAATCCGCCCGAACAATGGCTATTATTCAACACGAGGAGTGCTGGAGTGTACAACACACCAGTTAAGACAAGTAAAATAATATCTACGTGCGCGTGCACGAAGGATATTTCTCGATGAGATCGTGTTAGCTCCGACGAATAAAACGTAAATTCGTTCCTCTTCGCTCGACGTTGTTGATTTTCAGTCGAAGCGCTCGCCTTGCTGGTACCGTACTTCATTTTGCTACACGCGTAAAGATTGAGAGAGAGAGAGAGAGAGAGAGAGAGAGAGAGAGAGAGGGACGACGTCCGGAAAATTTGCGTGCGCGGTGATAGAAAATATCAGATACCTCCGAGAACTGTCGCATGCAAAATTTATTTTAATTACACAAAACTGTGGTGCAAACTTTAGAAAATTAAATTATTAATTTATTATTACGAAATTATTAATTATTAAATTATTGGATTATTGGAAAATTAAGGAAAACTGAATTAAAGAAAATTAAATTATTGGAAAACTCGCTACTCTCAAAGCTATGATGGACGAGAAAAAATAGAAATACTTTAGATTCTAAAGTATTTTTCTTTTTTTTTTTTTTCGCGTATCGTGGTTTCGAAAGCAGCGAAGGCAGCGATCCTTCGATTTAGATTTTTGCTACCCTCTGCGAGACCTGCGCACGTCTCATTTATTTCCTCGTTTCGCAACGCGTTCAGAGCGTTGTTCGTCAAAATCGGAGAATGTCGGCCCGTGTGTTTCCTTGAAGGAACAAAACACCGCGAACGGGAGAATGGACGCCGCTAGATGAATGAGTCACGAATCTCGACGTCCCGTTCTCCAAGCCAACGCTGCTCCGATTGCGCTGGTTGCGCGCCGATTCCTCGTCGCCGCGTAACACAAATACCCCGCCAGCCAGAAATACCGGTGCTCGCGGAAATTCGCGCATTAAAGTCTCCCACGAGCGCGACGACGATGAGTCATTGTCGCGAACCGGCCGATTTTTGCCGCAGCCGGCAGCTCGTCTGCGGCCTTCGAGCGGCCGCGGTTACTTCCTTCAGCGCGGCGCGGCGCCATGATTTACTCTCCGGAACTCGACGAAGCCGCAAGCCGCCGACGAGACGTTTCTTCTTTGCCAGCTACTTTCGCAGCGGAATTCAATATTTACCGAGCTAGGCGAGCTATATTCTCTCCCTGCATGCCGCCCTTCATATAGAACACCGACGTCTTATAGCGCTCGAAAGGGCTCCGGCGGGCAAGCGGTGAGCGGAACACCAGATCGGGCTCCTCCTCCGGTGTCCTTGCCGCGAGTGAAGCCTGACCGTTATTTACCGATGTTATCGAACGTACGCTATCAGCCCATTTGTCGCCGAGGTGCACGTTGAGTCACGTTCGTCGATGCGGCTCCGCCGACGGCAATTGCCGCATCGGCAATTTGCGCAAAATGCAACACGCTCGCGAGCGGCGCTTACGCGCCTCTGGATGATCGCGGACGTTGCCGCTCGTGACTCACGACTCCTGGCTAATTTTCAATCCCCCGCTCGTCCCCCCCCTTTTGCCCGCTCTTGCGACACCGGCGACGGCGCATCAGCAACGCCGATCGGGATGACGACATAACGCGGCGGAAAAATTCGATAAATCGCCACGGTCACCGCGGAGCTTGCGCGACTGGTACGAATATATCGCCATCCTCAATTTAGACGGTCCTGTTACGACGAAGCTTCGTGCCTTCCGTGCTCGCGCTCCATCAGTATCATCAAAGTACCGAGCGGTATGTTAAAAATGCGAGATATGCCTCTTGATGCTGTTTTACGAGCAAACAGCGCCAATTACGGCGATTGCATCGATTAATCTTTAGTCACTCCGCGGTGCCTCGTTTCCTTCGTTTCGAACATCTCGCGAGTCAGATTTGCAGCTTGCGACACAGTTCATGAACTTGAGACATCTCTCTCACGTGTACAACGAAAGGCGAAAAAATGAGCCTCGGGGCACGGAGAGGAGGGGAGATCGCGAGCGTTCTCGCTGCGACTCAAGCATTCTGAGACTTCCATTGCAGAAACCGGCGTTAAATCGCGCGCGATCGATGAGAAACGGATATTTCGCTTTCGTTGCGAAACTCGCCGATCCCCGGACCGCGTCCGATCTAATTACACGGTAAGACGAGTGAGACCTGAGAGCGGCGTGAATGTTGCCCGGCGCGGCGCGGCGTCCGGCTTAGCGGATGTCCCCTCGTCGTTTTCTGCGTCGCCAGAGAGCCAGTTATCCCGCTCCCGAAAGAAAGGGAAAGATATCGTGGAGTGGAGCTGTGCCCGTGCGACCGTCCGACCGACGACCAGGTGGGCATACAAAGCGAGAGAGCATCGAGCGTGTCAAGTGCCGACGGTGACGAGGTGTCGTTTCATCGACTCGCAGACTCGCGTGAAATTCCTCTTCGCTCGATTATCTCCGACGAGCGAGCGTCCGCTGCTCATTCACACGGCGAGCGTATCGTCACGCTCGCGTCACGGCGAAAATTCCCCGTAAACAATGATGCACCCTCGCGCGTCGCAATCGCGCAATCAACTGCGGATTCATTACCGCGGCTGTTTTAATGGACGGCGGCTGGACGCGCGCGAGCATTGCGTCGCACCTCGTTCACTTTCCCTCGAAGAAAACGGTAATGCCGAGCGCGCAATCGGACGGAGCAGAGGGAGGGAGGGAGGGAGGCGAAGCAGGGAGGTCTGTGTAATCGCGAGGCAACGGCCTATGACGAGTCCGGCCGGCGGTGATCGCGAGGTAGCGCAAGCCGGTCCATCCGTTACGTGGTAAAACCTGCAGGTTCCCGGCAAAAATCGATAGCGACAAGACTGCCGACACGGCAGGTCACTCCACGGCTGTAAACAAATTGTGCAAACGTTGAAAGGGGCGGAGCAGGACAGGTGTCGAGTACTCAGTCGCTCCGTCGGCCGCTGCTTCTCAACCTTCCATCGAAACGCATCCTTCGACTCTAAATGTATATATTAATACTGCAATTCAGTGCATCCAGATGTATCGGGTATTGAACTTAATTTTTTAAGGATTTACAAGAGATGGCGCAGTGAGCACCAACTTCATACGAAAGCCCTGTCATTAGGCTTTAAGAATCAGTATATTTCATTAGGTCCAAGTGTAAATAACATATTTTTTTAGCGCATTCAATATGTCGAGTTTCGTGCCAACGAGGCGCAATTTGCGGGAAGCGTTGCTCTTTTGTTTTCATTTGAAAAAATCAGCAGCTGTCAAGT